AGAGAGAGAGAGAGAGAGAGAGAGAGAGATGTTGTAGTAATGGCTATTATAATATTTATTAATGAGTTGTGATTTCTTTCTTCTCGTTATTATTTAAGACAAACTTCTGATTAGAATCAGAATTCAGTGACGGCTTATGTCATTGAATTGATGTCACATTTTCTTCAGGAGTAAAGAGAGAGTAAAGAGTGAGAAAAGCCAAACACTTTTTATCGTCACTAAAACCACACATTAAGTGATTTATATTTATATTAAATCATTTTGGATACAGGAGTCAAATCTTTCACAAGTTTTTTAATTTCGTATACTTTCGATAAATAATTTCAAATTCAATCATTTTTTCATTTACTTAATGTTTACTCAATGAAAGCTAAATGAAAACGAAAGCTTTGATAAACGAGTGGTTATTAAAATACTTTCTCATTTTGAAAGGTATACTAAATAATTATCTTAATATTGTTTTTGTTTTGTTTCATAATTGTTCACACATTCACTGGAATTATAAATTATTATTAAAAATTGGATTTTATTTGTTTTCGACTAAACAAACAAAATAAAACTAAACGACAATTTTTTTGTTTCGCAGTCTTATATCTAATTAATTGCGATGAAAATGATGTTCATTTTGACTTTAATAAGTATTTCAAAGTTAATGTAGCGACTAATGTAAGTCTAAACAAATATTATTTATTAATTAATTGCTTAATAACTATATGCTATGCAATTAGTATCTTATTGATAGAAGTTATATAAAAAGTTATTTCAAAATGAAATCATCGATAATTAAATTTATTAATGACTTTGGGATAACATTTTTTATTGTCTTAAAGAATAGATACTTAAATATTGTAAACAAATAAATCTCTAATAAATTATTCATAGGAATTAATTTCCTAATTTAAAAGGTATTTATTAGTGTTTAATAAATAATAAATATTTTTTATTAACAGTTAACTCTAACGGTTTAAAAAGTTTATTTTGTGTAAAAATGCAGAATTCATTATTTTTCTAACTAATAATATAAATATTAGTTTATTATTAAATTATCATAAAAATATGGCTAAAATATATATTTAAATTAGCGTTAATTAACGCCATTTATAGTAGTGGTTATTATTTCCCTAAAGTTTAAGCAAAATATTTTTAATTATAAATAAAATGCATATTTTTATTACACATTTGTAGTGAAATAAATAAAAACCCATTTATTAATTTTACAAATTCATTGATGTAAAAATAATGTTTCCTTTCGTGACATTTAATTTACGAGTCATTGATTTTATATAATAAGTAATTTAAAACTTCTTAGAAACCGACCGTCTTTGAAAAGATGGTCACACTATATAACCCAGACGTATGGCCCGGACCTAACGATACCCACCACTCGTCCACAACCACTCCAATGCCACCGAAAGCGCCGAGAAATGCAAAGTTTGTGTTTGGTTTGCGACGATCCGGAGTCGAGACACGAAACCTGGGCTACGGTTATGACTACAATGACACACAACCCATTACTCCCTATCCACCCGTCTATACCACACCACTAACAATAAGTCCAATTAATAGGAAGTTTTACGACTTTAATTTCAATCAAATCAATAACAATACGGTTTACAATCGACGAAACATTACACGAGGTTTTAGGACTTTTATACCAAATGAATACGGAATCCGATACCGCACTCCCAGACCAGTGTTCAGAGAGTACAACACATCCCAAATACTGCCCGACTTTAACAGCCATAATCAGTTCCCCGATTACTATTCCAGTAGACCTATACTTAGACCTGTTCTCAGACCTGTACTCAATGTTTATAACAATTCCCAAGACTTTTTCACCCGAGACTATCCGCACATATCCCGAGACTTTCCCGATGTCAGAAATTTCACACTTCAGACAATTAGTAACCAAACGTCAAATACAGCGTTCAGATGTGAATATCAGAGATATTTCGGATATTATGCCGACGTCGGCTCCAATTGTCGGGTAAGTCATAAATATTACGTTTACCTTAACTTTACACTATTATTACAAAGAAAGATAATATCAATATCTCTATTATTTTTATTATAAGCTTATTCGTTTTGAATACTGAATAAGAAAGAAATAATTAAAAATAAATGATATGAAACTAATTAAAAGTCAAATATAGTTTTAGTATCTGATTAAGAAAATTAACCATCGCACAAAAAACCAAACTTTTTTCACAGCGTGTCCCTGAAATGTTAATGCGATATTTGTTTAATTAAAATAATTTGAGTTTCAAATTTACTTTGTTGAATTAATTATCTCACTTGGCATCAGGTCTTCCATGTGTGCACACCTGATGGTCGAAAGGCATCGTTCATATGTCCAAATAGGTTGCTATTCAATCAAAAGCTATCGGTTTGCGACTGGAGTTATAACGTTGAATGCGATCAATCCGTTAATTTTTACGACACAAACCTCATTAAGTTTGACAATTGGAATAAACTATTGTTTAGCAGAAAAAAGTAAAACTAAAACTAAGAATATCTTCACTAATTCAGACACTTCTCATCATTTAAAACAATTGTTGAAATAAACAAAAAAAACTTCAAAAATAAAATACATCTTATAATGAATTAAAAACAGAGTATTACTTGAATTAATACTAATAATTAACTCATTAATTACAAACTGCTGTTATTATCAGATAAGATGTGCCTAAAAACTCAGTATTAAATGAAAACCCAAAATATAATTTACATATTTAAAAACAATTTAAAAAAATTCCATTTAATAAATGCAAAAGATTTGCTTAAATACTAACATTTGTTTTGCATCAATAGTTTTAGCCTTTTTTGGTATTTATAACTTGTGATAAATAACAATACAATTATCCCTTCAATTTTAATATAAGTTTAAAAACTTGATAGAAATAGTAGTTTATAATTCATAGTTAAGTAGAATTGAATAATATTTACCTGGAAATTATGTATTAAGTGCAATAAAACTTATGGAAATGCATAATTAATGCATAATTTACACATCAATGAAAGAAAATTGACAGAAATATTTATAGGTTTAATTTATCAGTTGTAGTTTAAGCCATTGTTTGTGAACAAATACTCGCAATTTATCAGCAAAAAAGTGTCAAATTCTTTATATAACTCATTGCTCACGAATTCATTATAAAACAA